CAATGGTTGGGAGAATTTACTGTTAATCACTGTTAGACGGTGTCGACCAGTGACACCTTCATAGAAAACCTACCTGTTAGAGGGCTAGTAGAGTATAGGAATATAATAAGTAACATTTCATACAAAAATTACACAATTTTTCAATCAACCTTCAACAATGTTACCGAGTCACTTTAAGCAGGAAAATGTAGAAAAGCATTGTTTGTAAAGAATAGGTTCCTGGGAGACGTGGAAAAATGACCGAGACAGAATATGTTTACTTTTTAAGAGAGACGTACATGTAATCAAATGTAAGAGGGCAGTAATTTGACAAATAATTGTTAACCAGTTCAATACAATTTGGGGCAAATACAGAAAGAAAATGGTTATGATATACATGTACATTGTATCTAGTTAGCTATATGTACAGTCTACCAAACCATATAACAACTAGTCAACTATAACAACTTGTACTTTATAGCTGAAGTAGGAGGGAGTAGGAGGGGATTTACAGTCAACAACTGAATTATTCATTTCCCCTTGTGAATTTGATGTTTTTAGTGTTATCGTAACTCAAGAATGAAAGATGGACTGGTTGAATTACTTACAAAAAAGTCTTACATGTAGGACCTGTGTTGAATACTTTTAGATGTAAGCTCAAAACAAAAATTATGTCACATTCTCAAGAAACATAAATCGGGGCAAATCAATTTTTCGCATACATAAAAAAAAAATCACATAACTTGGTGAGGGTATGAATACTTAGTTAATAACTGTAGTTGGAGTGGGAGGGGAGTAGGACGGGAGTTAGGACGTACGCCATGTTTGCATGATATTTCTAAAGATAAAAAACCCAAGGGTAGATTACTGATTATGAGCTGACCGGTCACCGACTGATATTGTGGTGAAGAAAATGATATTGTCATGATTCGATTAAAGGTACAACTCAAAAATGAAACAAAAGTATAAAGAAATTAAAATTAATAAAAACGTTACAATTTTTCAGCATTTTGTTCGCCAATATTTCTTGTAGGAAGGCATGTTTTTGGCGATCCCACACAATTTACTTGTAGAAAAACTGGTACATGTACATTAAATTGGAATCAGCGAATCTTGAAATGGTTTCCAATATCATTTCCTCCCTATTAATTTAGAGATAACACTACACTTAGCGGTGAGTGTTAACGATTCTAATTCCAATTAACATTAAATTAACACAAGGTGCGAGGCATATTTTTCCTCGCTGTTTCATTCTCTTATCCAAGGTGGACCTCATTCAGTCTATAATCTAATCGCCCGTTTCTTGCTGTTGGTTTGTCTAACATAAAAAATGCCCCCATAGTTATTGTGTTATAAATTTTAAATGCATTTGTTTTTCAATGTGTCAATATTTTAATTAACTTGGTTTTGTATTTATTTTGGCATATACATGTACACAATTCCATACATAGTTGCTTATCACAATACGAGTACGGTAAACCCTTTCTCTCTCATATTGGGTCTTCTAAAAAGCTATCTGAGGAATCGACAGTGATACCAAAGGCCCAAGAGGCCAAGAGGATTTACAGCCCCCGACACAGATTATGTTGGAATAATTCGCCTTCTTCACAACTTTCCTACAGTTTTTCACTAATCCAATATTATCAATCTTGTGGACTACTGTACGTCGGTCTACTGGGATGTTCCTGTTTAAAAATCTTGAAACCTAGCCTTGTTGAATCATGCACATGCCGTAGTTCAGGCAACATACATGACATATACGGCATGTCAGCCCTGTTTGCCAGTACACTGACGGGGTAAACTTTTACACATGATTTAAACAAAAACTATTTTCTTAAAGGGCAAGTCCACCCTAATATTACGTTGAATTTAATAGAAACAGAGTAGTGAGAGGAACAGGTCAGTGAAATTTTAAGCAAAATCTGATTAAAAAAAAGAAAGTTGTGATTTTTTGAAGTAGTGATCAATCAAACCCAAATTGGCAACTCTGTGACGTTTCCGGCGAGGTCCCCTCTTATTTGCCCTGTACTGAAATTTAAAAAATCCGAAATTATTTTCAATCATACATTGATCATAAATATGATTATTGCAAATGTTTTCTTTTTTATACAACTCCAGTGCGAAACAAATCTAAACCGTCATCAATAACTAAGATAATGAAATTTCCTGTATAGTGAGCCAATAGGGACTTTTAGATTTGCACAACGACAACGTGGACTGCTACGATCGACGTCCTTTTAATGCACTGCCTTGAATGGACGTCACACGTATCAGTCCACGCAAATCTAAAAGTCCTTATTAAGAGAGGACCTCGTGACAGAGTTGCCAAATTTGGGTTTCACTGATGATGCCAACTTTTAAAAGGTCACAACTTTCCCATCTTTAATTGGATTTTGCTCAAACTTTCACTTCTTTGTTTCTCTCGTTTTTCTGCTTTTCATACCAGATTATTATCATGCAGGGTCGCCTGATGCAATGTTGAAGTAATAATTTTGCCATAATAAAGGGGTTGTTTTTAATTATTTTGCTCGCTCGCTTCACTCACTCGTGGATTTTTAACATGATCGTTGATTTTCAGCAATCGAGCCTTAGCCCCCCCCCCCCCCATGAAAATGTGCCATTGATTTCAGTGCACCCAAATGCAAATTTTCATATGGAACAATACATGTATATCTTTTCATGATTGTGGTAGAAAAGTGTGAAATCCAATTTTTACGTCTGTTTGGCATTATTTATGTACATTTGCAAAACCTCAAGATGTAGTTCACAACCCTTTTTACACGTTATGAAAACTCAACGTTAAACTTTTGAGCTAAATAAAGGTTTCAAAAAAGTACTCACTCAGGCCCATCAAATAATGAACAAACTGAGTATTGTTCATTTTGAAAAGATATACACAATGTACTGTTAAGGGTAAAATGCATAGGAAATCGCGGTGTTTTTTTTTTAGGATTAAAAAATGCCAAAAATATACCCTAAGTTTATTGTTTGCGCCGAGCGCCATAATACTTAGTTATGCCACAGTCGAGTGAGAATTTTGAGAGAATTACCACAGTGAAAACATGTTTCTGTTAAAAAGAAAACGTTTTAAACATGTTTCTGTTAAAAAGAAAACGTTTTAAATATGTTTCTGTTAAAAAGAAAACGTTTTAAACAATAAAAACGTTTAAAACATTTGAAAAAAGGTTTTGAAATAAAAGCAAAAGCATGGTCCCTGTTGTTGTTTTAATAAAAAAACATTTATTATCACAACCCTTCTCAAATGTAATGTTTTGGACATCATTATATAACGTCACAAAAACGTCATTTACATCGACCAATAGTTCGGGGCTACACCTCTTCATGATCTTCCCATTATTACAGAAGTTCCAGCAGAAAAGATATCACAAAAAAATCGACAACCGGTACAAACACGCTTTGTACCGATAGAATTATTTGTTTTTTAAAAAAAATCTGATGCAGTGCACATCAACATTATATAATTTTTCTAAATTATCCATAATTTGTTAGCGTAATAAATGGATCAAATTTGTAAAATACTGATAGGTGGGCGATTTTAAGGAGTATCATTGGCACAGAAACATATTTTTTTGGCATTGGAAAAATCACGTCCCTACATTGATAAGTATACGGCATATCCCAAATAAAGTGCATAACATCGTGACATGTGGACTAGGACATCAATCCGAATTCGTCAATTTAGTGAATTTACATTAAGTAAAATAGAATAAAATAATTCTGTGACATGGAACAGTCATATAAAGGAAATGTTTGAAAGAAAGAAATTAACAAACAAACGAATAAACCGTTCTCCAGGAATGATATGTTGGTCACAATGTTTTCCGTCCACTCCCAAATATTCTGTAGGAATTCGCTAAAAAATAAAGGCGGTGTGAATATTCGTAAAATGTATCTTTGTTAGCATTGAAGTACTACATGTACCAGCTTGTGCACTTAATTTTAACAGATTTAACAGAATTTCCTTTATGGTCGATAAGCCCATTCAGAAGCACGTGGTGTTTTGGTTATTTAGTCTTCACTATCAAAAATGAATATACAAAATTTACATGTGTATAACAAAATTTAAAAAATAATACTAAAAGGTAACAGACCTAACCTGTACATGCACTTATACTAAATCAAAAGTTTATGACAGTAAAAGAAAATTTCAAGGAGTATAGCCTAAACTAAATGATTGTCCAATATAACTTGCAAGCATTGAAAACAACTGCATTTTGTGACATACTTTGGGGTTTGTAATATTGCATAAAACCAATGTCCACTTTAACGGAAAACCTCAATCACTTAGCAATTTAGTTTGAATGTTGCTAGAATTGAAATTGTGACTGTCACAATTAATGATGACCCTTTCGGCCCCCTTTCTCAGAAACAGCTATATAATGTAAACTGTGTTCTTTTAGAACTGTCCATCCGTCTCAATCGTAAATATTTGAACTTCTACATGTGTTTCTTTCCACATATTTCTAGAAATATTGAAAACCTCATATTTTCATAATAACAGAGACTAAAGAAGCTCACATTGTTTTCCATATGCAATCCATATAATTCTAACTGTTTACATCATAATCAATTACAGCTATAACGCTTTGCAAACAAATTTCGATTTACAATTTTTTTTTCCCAAAACATATTTTTCAAGAAATTTTGGTAGACCAGTCGCCAATTATTATTTGGTTTCTCAAGCATGGAATCAAAGAAATGGCATTTAAAAAATAACGAGTTTCATTTCATAAACTCTCTTTGGTAAACTTTTGGCATAAATTCATATATAAAACAAATATATATGGCCTACTACTCAATGTGTAAGCGCAACACTAAGTTACGATTTAAATGGTCTCATGTTACTGTCACAATATTAACATTATCAAGACACACAATAATGCCCGACATTTAATTTATATAAAATAGAAATGGCAGTCAGTATGTAAAAGGATTTCATGAAAATCTTCTCCAACAAAATCCCCCCACAAATTAATACATTGTTGGTGTAATATTATCATTCATCTTGCAGTAATAACACCGTGTTGTAGAACTTTATGCCGGTTTGGTTTGGGTAGAGGCGAACCACCGATTTTCCACCTCCAAACAGGGTGGCATTTGGGAGGGTGGACGCCCCTCGGAACAGCCATGCTACAAGCCGGCTTCAAGTCCCCATCCCTTACAACCAACGAAGGCGGTAATAATAGAAACTCTGACATCTTAAAAGTGGCAGTCTTAGGGTCGTCCAGTCCCCTGTTGTTGGATCGCTTTATCCTCGACCCGCCATGGGTTTTTTTAGGTTTTAATCGCCGGGTCTTTTTGTGTTTGCTATGTGCACCCTTTCCGATGGATTTTTTAGCCTTGCCTTTTTGAAGGCGTGCCAACTCGCTGGAAATTGCTTCGAGTTTTCGCTTCAATTCCGCCACTTTCTTCGGATCCCCTTGCTCTCCGTGTCGTTTCCTCTTCTGACAGATTTCTGACTTGGTTTCTGAATTCAAACACGCATCTGTGCCTTTCATTATTGTCGTAACATTCCCATTCACATCACAAGTTTCCAAACTCTTCCCGTCAAATTTACATTTCTCCTTCTTGCTCTTTTTCTTTTTCTTGTGTTTTTTTTTGTTTGTACGTGTTTTAATATCTTCCAATTCTTCTTTCTTTTTGCCAGATTTTCTTTTCTCTCCAAGCTTGATGGCGCCATTTAAGGTCTCCTCTCCCTCTTTTTGTGGCGAGACAAGCCAGGATTTTTCGCGCTTTTTCAACACCAGAGCGGCCGCACCTGCAACGCTATCTTGGTGTTCCCCCTGCCCAGCCACGACAACCTCCGGAGAGTTGCGGCTGTACGAAAGCTCCCTGCTCTGCTCGCTTTCATGATTTCCACGGACTCCCCGCTGAATGTTTCTTTGGCAATTTCTATTATATTCCTGCACTGTTGAGCATTTTTTATCCTTTAGTCGCAAAGAGTTGTTTATTTTCTTGACGTACATAGCAGAGTGCTGCGACCATAAGTTATTGGAGTTACACTGCGAGGTATCTGAACTTAGCTGACCACAGTTGTTTGCTATGCATGGTTTGTTATTACGACATGGCTTCGCTCCGTGAATGAACCTTGCCGGACTACACAAGCTTGTCGTGCATTCCGACTCGCCGTCTGAATTTGACCCGACCCTGGCCCGCCATCGAACCCTGGCGAGCTCCCCTACGCTCGTGTCTGTGCTCGAGACCGAATCCAAGGACTCACTGGACACAGAAAGCTCCGATAAATCAGACAGATTCGAGTTGATTTCCAGGTTAGACAACTCACTTTCTTGGTCGCTGTCACTCTCCAAATCCATACAGCCCACGCGTATCTGCTGAGCTGCGTCCGCAAATTGAAATCCATTCACAAAACGTACCTCTCCACCATTACTCTCCTCGGTATTCTCCAATATGGCGGCACCATCTTGGTCGGGGACATTTCCAAACGACTGCCAAGAATTATCCTCCTTCTCCTGTCCAGTAAATCCGAAATATTCCTTTCCTTTCAAAGTGGTAATATTTGTTTCACTGTGCATATCACATTCGTGGCTCACGTTGCTAACTGTGGCAATAGGATTGCATGTGTCTGTAGTATCATTATCGTCCATGTTTGTCCCTTCCTTTTCGCCGCAATCAAAATCGACTTCTCCGCGCATATTATTTGCTCGTCCAGCGCCAATTAAAGGTCTGTCTGCTGTAGAAAATGCTGTAGAATGAATGTCAAATGTCACAGTTTTCCTCTCACAAGCCTGGAAGCCAATACAAGGCTCAGAAAACGAAAATTCCACCGATTTAGTCGTCGAGTTGCTACAGACATGCTCAGCGCCGCTGCTGTCCCCTATTTGTTTACATGTAGTTCCCTTGCAATCTGTATTGCCAATGCTACGCACATGTTGTGTACAGAAGTCACTGTCCGCCGATCTACTGCGAGCAAAAAATATGTCGGATTTTGAAGCATTTGGAATCTCTGCGTTGCACAGGTTCTGACACTCAATAATTCTATCTGAGCGCCCTGAATGCCCCAACTCAAATTTAGTTGCATCTGTACATTCTCTTTTTATCTTCTTTTCACGTTTCTTAACATTTTTCGTGTGTTTCTTGTGCTTAGTTTTGAGGTTGATTTTGACACCATTTTCGTTTGCCAAGCCCTCTGTTTTTACACCACATGAGCGGCATAGCTTCAGCAAATCGTCATGGGAAATTAGACAGCATTTGCTGGTACGATGTGGTACAGCTTTTAGCCATTTCAAGCGATGAATCTGTCTCAATTTACACGGTTTTCTGTCGATATGCAGCTTCTTCAAGCGTTTATGAAACGTGGTTCGGGGAACAGAATTCCTTCCATTTTGAAAGGCTTGGAATACTTGAGTTAGGGCGTACATCTTGATATTTTTGCCTCCATTCCCTGCTCGCATTTGCAAGATAGCGAGTCGAATTCCGTTGAGCTCGGCAAATTCGTTTCTCATTTCCATTTTCGTTTTGGCGCTCAAATTAATTTTCATAACTCTGGCTTGTTGTGGCGGTAAGATTACGAAGCATTTTTGGACAGATCTGAGAAAAAAAGAGAAGAATTATAAGGGTGATATTTTACAGATAGCAAACCTGTGCATCACGCTCCAGTTTCGAAAGCATAACGATGGGAAAATGACTTCGTAGAGAGCATGGCTACATTGTAGAGAAACCACAAAACCATACATTGAAACTAATATCCATACAATATTAATTTCGAATAAACTCAAAATTGACTTTCTCCGCTCCTATCGAAACATTTTAACATAAATACAACTTGATTAAATTAAAATTAGTAAATCACAATCGGCTCTCTATCATCAATACTTCATGCAAACTACAATTCTTCAAGATTAATTAATAATTAATTAGTACTTCAGTATCATTTCTGCATGTTAGTCTCAAGAACAATAAAAACAAAAATATAAACTTTTTGTGGGAAAAGAAAATGCTTACTGGCTTCTCGGTCAGAAGCCCATGCGTACCAGCTCTGAAATTCCTCAGCGTCACAAAAATGGAAGAAAATCTTCTATTTTATTTTCTATCTCCTTTTACCAGCTCACGAGTAATTGCACCGTTATATCAAATAGTTAAACAAATAAATGGTTGTCAGGGCTTCAAACTGATTTTCCCTGTGATAAAATCCAGACCATCAAATGCAATATTCCTTGATCTAGAAATGCAATGTACGTTCCCGCTCTCCAAAATAATGTAAAGAAAAAAAGAAAAACGTCGCGAAGGAAAATGTGCCCGCGCTTCGTATTTATCGCACTGACTTATATCGTGGATATGAATGCTTATATTCATGCGTGCATTATCAATGCAGTACGCAATGGGTCCCTGCGTGGAGTACAGATAACATGCATGCATTTGCAATGTGTTCAGGCAGAGATGTGCACCATGCTTTGTTTGAAAATATTTCCGATGAATTTATAGCACTCCTTTTGCCGTAGACACACCCCTTTTCTCCAAGAGACGAGGGGAAATATGATTATGTACTCGATTATTTTATCGTCTTATATTTTAGGTTTTACAAAACTGATACGAGTTATGTATAATCAGTATACAATGAGATAGGAATATGAAAATTCCACGACTTTTTTATGAAATTTTATACGATTTCCGAAATTGGGAATTACAGTAATATTACACAAATTGTCATGCATTTTATAATGGCAAGGTTTGAAACATGAAATACAGTATATTCATCTAATACCTATAATCAGTTTTGTTTTAAACCAATGCTAACACAAACAATAATAAGCAGGAAACTCACTATGCCTGTTATTATTTTTTTTATTATGAAAACTATTTGTAATAATATTTTGCTATTAAAGTGCGGGTGGATGTAGGTCCTATTAAAGACCGTCAATACTACTGGACCAGAAGGGATTAGACCACACAGCGGGGTCACTGACAGGTGGCTATCTCATTAACTCAGCTCTCAACTAACATAAGAAAAAGAGGATCATGGGGGACCAACCGGCACCAATTGGGGAAGTTTTCTATATAGAGGGAGCAAGTAGCTACAAGTAGGACAGTGGTGCTTTTTATTAAAAGTGTTAAATTGCGTTTGCAAAAGACGAAACTTCAGAATTTCACTTAGGGAATAAAAAAATATGTTAAACCGTCAGTCTACATTTTAATGTAAACACACCCCCAACAAGTGAAACAAATGTCCAGTGAAGGGCAAAGGGGACAATGTTGACCATGGGCTATAAAAAAGGGCCAGTGGTAGAAATAACAGGTGGTGTAAGTTTAATAGATTGATTGATGAAATGATGGATTCATTGATTGATTTGTTTAGTTTGATGGTTTGGTTTTACCAGATTAAAGATAAACTTTAGTACTGGTAATGCGATTGCATTGTGAAAGAAAAGGTGTGGAAAGGATCAGAAACAGTTGATCATGTAGCATGTAAGTATTGGTGTGCACTGCAAGGTTCTGGAGTCATCAAAATTGTAATAAATTTGACCGAGTCTTGGTAAAGTAACAAGCCCTGTACACAGAAAGCTATATATGGGACAACACACATGGTGTCGGGGCTAGTACACTGCAAAAACCAGGGTGTTAAATATTCAACACCAGCATGGAATAGAAAAATATCAACACCCTTGGTGTTCATTTCATGTCCGATTGGCGAAAAATAACACCAACGGTGTGAAAATATTCAATTACAGGCTGATGGTGTCATATTTGGTGTTATAAAATCGCACATGCGCATAAGCTAGAGAATTCGACGAAAATCATTGGACGAAAGTTGTCATATGATCCGATATGCGCCTCTGCAGCTGCGCGCGCACAGCTAGACGAGAGCATGTGGCTAGAGAATTTCACTGGCACTGACTTGAAGTCTTGATTCTGGAGTAGTAATTCTTCAAATTAGGCCTAGATTCTAGATGTGAAGTGATCGAAGTGCATGCAACCATGCCATTAAGCGTCAGGGTCTGTTCAGCGGATCGAAGTATTAGAAAATACCTGCCTATAGATCCAGAAGACACAGTAGGATTCTTTGAACTCAGTAAGTGTACATGGTTCTTGTTTGTTATAAACTTTTATAGATCTAGCCTATAGTATTACGTGTTCGTCAGCTGGCGCTAGCCGCGCCTGTCGTTGGGTAGCCCAGGCCTAGAGGTCTAGGCCTACTATGCCTTGGCTGTCCGGCCGGGTTGGGTATCCGGTCAGCATGATGCCATTTAATATTTTATGGATTTCTGAAAAATTATCATTGATAAATACTCCAAAGGGCAAACATTCATGATAGATCTAGGTCTATATATTGTTATTTAATACATATTTGTTTCAAAATGTAAAGGAAAAATCATTGGCTTAGCAGCATGCGTACGATATGCATACGCTTGCATATCGCGCGATACAGCTGTTTGGCTAAATTTAGCAAAACAACATCACTCTGCGTGGACGTCTTTTTCGTCGATTTTGACCAAAATGATATGAATATACCAGCGTGTTGGAGGGGCTGTAACTTTTGATAGAAACATCGGTGAGACTTGAAATTTGAAATGTATTATTCTGATAACATTTTTTATTCAAATATCAAACAAAAATGGTGAAAAACGATCCCAAATTGAAAATTGAAAAATCGTTCAGACACCCTACTGTCAGTAGATCTAGACCTAGTCTAGGGCCTAATCCTGGGTTTTTGCAAAAATATCAGGTCTAGGCTAGATCTAGATCTAGATCTAGAAGTCTAGACTAGATCTAGACTCTAGATTTCTAGGCCTAACAGTTAGATCTAGAGTTCTAACGTTAGATCTGCATTGACATTAGGCCTAGATATCTAGATCTAGATCTAACGTTAGATCTAGACTAGATCTAGACCTACCCCATTCATGTAATAAAAAAAATGCAAAAATAATAAACATGGAAATTCAATCTCTAGATCTAGATCTAGATCTAGACTATTTGTAGCGCACACAACAGTCCAAACTCCACCCCCGGTTGAGCTTGATGTCCCATTTAACAGTTTTAGGGTGTAGGCCTATTATAAAATGGCTCTAGATCTAGCCTAGTATTTTAAGCATCGTGATTGGTCAATACGCGTCACATGGCATTGACAAATTTTTGATGCAAGCACGATTTTGCAGAAATGAGTGCAGAAAAAGCGCAGTAAAAAGTTATATTGCACGGTGCGTACGCGTGACCATGGGGATCCAGTGCGCGCGCGTACGCGTAGTACTAGTACGCTCCCTCGAGTGCATTGTAGGCTATAGGCTACGCGTAGCTAATATTGTACGCTCCAAGATCCACCATGATCCCCAGCGCAGCGTACGCGTTAGCTCTAGCTAGAGCGGGGTATTATTAGAAAGCAAATTTTTGTTTTACTTTTGCCTTGGATTTAGACCCGTTTTGACTTTTGGATTTTATAATGAAGCCAGGAATTTCAGCTGTCTGATGTAGACTCGTCTCTAGACACCCTATGCATTTTATTTTTAATCAAACAATGAATCCTGTAGACTTTTTGGTAAGCCTGCAAGGTCTTAGACCCTCATTTTATTTCTAGAACCAACATAACTCTAGATCTAGATCGAACTCTCGTATACTTAAGATCTAAACTTTTGTTTGTTGCTGTTTGTGTCGCTATTTTATAAAACAAATAACGCACTTGACCCTGTTGTGCGAAACGTAAATGCAGTGTTCGCTCGGTTTCTTCAGATGGTTCGCACTGTCAACTCGCCGCAAGCGGCTTGTTGCACAGAGCGGCACCAATATAAAGAAACCTCGCGCGTACTGCATTCACCGCTATTGCACTCTGGGACGTGCGTTATTTGTATACTATAGCACAGTTGGGCTTGTAGCAGCAGTTTTTGCAGCATTCGTTTATTATGACTGAGCCATCAATCTGTAAGAAACTGAAAAGTGCACTGTGATATTTATTCTCATTTATTTAATCTCTCCTACAGTCAGAAGAAAATTCCACATAAGGGATGGGGAAGATCTCGTACTTGTGGATGAACAAGAAGGGTTTGGTATAGACGATGACGTACTAGGAGATGTGGTGACCAGCAATCCCACAGTCAGCCTCATGGTGCTAAAAGAAGATGAAGAATGGTCTGGTAAGTTTTGGATAAAGTGCATTATAATACAAAATTGCAAATCCCTGCTAAATGTGATATCATCAGTAGCGGATTCAGGATTTTAAAATAGAGTTAGAGGGGTGCAAAGAGCATATTAAAAATAAAGAGGGGGCGCAGATCACAATTTAACCTTAGTAATGTGTATGTTCACGAGGTAATTCTCAAAATATAGAGGGGGCACATGCCGGGTGCGCCCCCTGCTGGATCCGCCACTGATCATTGTATGTGCATGCATGTTAAAATGAGTCAGCGTTCGTCTGGTAGCAGGTACAGTGTAGGCTTGTATGCTGTATAGAGTCTAGGGAATTAACATTTTGCTTTTCATAAGCAATAAATGAATGTGCAGTTCAAATTACAGGCACAGGTCTCAAAACTTGGTGGAGGAAAAAAAAACCTACCCTTTTTTGATGACGTAACCTTGCCACAAGAGCCGTGATTTGTGGGCGGTCAATGATCTAAATTCGAAGTCTAAAGATTATAAAAATTACAGATTCTTACAAATTGAATTTTTTAACAATGCAAACTTGCATTTAAAAAAAAAATGTCTTTAATTTAAATTGTGACCCCACCGAACAAATTTGAGGAGGGGACTGTGAAACGGGCGCCATACTTGTGTGTTTCTGTGCGTGTCTGTGTATGATCTTTGACCTTTTGCTTCAAAATCCTACAAAAGGCCACTCCTATGCCATTTCTCATCTGATTTTGATTCTGTTTGCTTTGTGTGATAGCACGAGGTGAGGGCTATTGGACCCATAGAAACCAATAAGTTTAATGGTTTCAATAGGGAAAGGGAAATAAAGGACCCATAGAAACCAGCAGAAAGGTTATATTGCTCCAATAGAAATCCAACACATACTTCTGTTGGTCCATTAGAAATCCATCAGAAAATTTTTGCTGATCCAATAATAGGAATCCAACAATTTCTTTCTGTTAGTCTTATACTTATAGAAAACCATCATGAAAGAATTCTGTTGGATTATATTGGACAGACCTATTGGTTTCATTGGGAACAGTCCAATGGAAAAGTAATTGAACATTTCTAAATGCTAGTATTATAATTCACTTAGACATGAATGAATGCATCAATTAACAAATTGTCCATTAAAAAATGCTCAAGTATTATAAAATTAACAAATGTGTCAGACCAATATAACTTAGCTGGTTTCTGATGGTTTTAGACTAATAGAAATTTATATGCAGTTGGACCTCCCTTATCCAGTCTCCTTTATCCAGATCACTTGAGAATTTGCCTATTTTACTCAAATAATTAGCGGAACCAACAAAGATTTCAAGCATACTCGTAATATCGCAAACTATTTGGGTTACTTATATACATTATTCCCAACATTGTTATTACACATTCAATTCAATTTTTCATGATCAGAAACATGCATTCATTCAAACTCGGCAACTGCATGTTTTGAATATAGGATTCCCTTATGCATGTTAGTGCTGATCCCAAGTGTGGGGATAAAGGAGGCCCAACTGTATTCAATTCTACCAAAGTTTAAGATGCCAGTATTCATTGTTTTTTAACAGTGCTCATGGCTTTATATCTTTTTTTCTTTATTAAAGGTTCAGATGTACATAGCATCACAAGTGCAGACACTATCAAGGTGGATACCAGCTCCTCTTCCCTGAGTAGCTCAGAATCTGATTCAAGTTTTTGCTCCAGTAGAAAGAGGCCACGATTAAATGCCCTCAGTGAATCAGGTGCAATCACTGACAACTCTTGTGAGGTAAGGTTAAGAAAAAATTGTTTGCTTCATTTCAATCTCAGCTATCATAATCAACATAATATAAGGGACTCATCACCTATACGGATTTCATATTATTTAAAATTGAAAATGATATTGGGAGAAAAAAAATACATCTAGTGTAGTTAGAACTAACATTGTAAATTAATATTTCCTGTAGTAAGGTTTTTGTAATGGTATAGGTTAACATTAGGCAACTAATTTGATTTCTTTTTTGGTACATCTAAGCTGACGACTCCTGTAAGATATTGGCCATCTTTTTTGCTTCGTCATCTGTCATAAGTTTTCCATAAACTTTTACAGTTTCATTTTCTTCCAATGGGTGGTATGATTTCAAACAAATGATATTATGTCTAGAGGTTTAAATTGAATTGCCAAATTTTATGAAATGTTTTAGAAATGGGAAAGAGAAATGAGGTAATTAATCATCGAATAATACATCTCATGATCTGGTTCCATATAGACCTCTGAGGGTATCAAGGAAAAGGACTAATATCAAAATTAAAAAGTTGAAGATGAGATGCATCGATTGTTACATAACCTTTATTGTAGTGTTCATGATGATCCCAAACATAGAATAGTTTCCTGCTGTATTGTTTGTGGATATGAAAGTAATGAACACTGTTCAGGGCACTTTAGACGGTCTCCCCATGGCATTGGGCTTGCATGTCTATATTAAGTAGAAGGAACTCGCATTACAATAAACACAAATTTACCTGTAGCCTCATGTGTCCCCTCGTGTGTGTGTATGTGCGTGTGTGCATATGTGTGTTTGGGGTGTTTGTGGGAGTGTGTATTTAACAATATTTAAACTATTTCAAGCTCTATAAATAAATATATTATTATTTAGAATTTATGATTATTGGCCATATATCAATTTTAATATCATAATGTACCTATATAAATTCATAGTCATTCATAAAATTTCGTGCCCTTAGAAAGGTCAGTATGAATTAAAGTGCCTGAAAGTGCATTATAAACTCAATATGTTTATTTATGACTTAATGGGATGATTTACCTGTTTGCAGTTTGTACAAGAAATTTTGCGGCACAGAGGTGATGCCATTCTCCGAGAGTATGAATTGACTGGAGCACTTCAAGATAAAACTAGACGGCAGATGATTAACCTTTTGGTAGCCCACATGCAAGAACACTATGGGTAAGTGCCAGCAAATTTTCTTTTATGATTGTGTAAATGCACATAATAATTATCAGGTACTACCAATTATGTGAAAAGAAACTGAGGTAACATGGTCAACTTTAAAGGAATTTGTTGTCTCTTCAAAATCATTTTTCAAAATATTCATTTTTATGCCTCCGCCACCGTCAGGTGGTGCCGGAGGCATTATGTTTTCGGGGTTGTCCGTCCGTCCTTCCGTCCGTGCGTCCGTGTGTCCGTCCGTGCGTCCGTCCGTCGGAAACTTGTTACCACGATAACTTCAGAACTACTGGACGGATTTTTACCAAACTTGACACAAGTATTTATATACATGTGAGGATGAACTGATTAGATTTGGGGTTTAGGGGGTCAAAGGGCAAAGGTCACAGGGCCAAACAAAAATTGTAAAAAATTACCCGAAAAAAGCTCGATATTGCTATAACTTCAGACAAATTGAACTAATTTCTTTCAAACCTAGCTCAATTATGTATTAGCATGGGAGGAAGAAGATTTTGGGTTCACGGGGTCAAAGTTCATAGTGCCCAAAATTTGTAAAATCACCCAAAATGTTTCGGATTTCCAATGGCATGGAACAAGCAATAATATCTTTCTGATCGCATGATGGCAGAGGCTTAAATTTTGACCGTGCGTGGTCGAAGATTCATCTAGTTTTAAATGTGATTTGCACATGATGGTTATCAGGTATTACCAGTCTTGTGAGTGACATTTTTGGGTCATTACGTTAAAATAGATTAATGCCGTAGATGTTAGCGGCCTCATCGTCATGAGGCCTCACTTTATAAATGTATTATGAACTAACCATGTGATATTTTGAGATTTTAAAGTAATAAAAAAATACTAAACTATAGCAAATTATATGATGCAGACGAGACCACTAGGGGTATGCTACTTGTTATCAACATACTAAGTTCTGTTTTAATAGAGCCAGTCATGAGTCCATATGACTGTAATTCTCATACAGGAGATGTGCTTTCTTATTTCACAGCAAACATCCAAAAGCAGCTATGAAAACCAAATATGCCATGGGGATAGTGAATCTGTTTCCAAGACTCAAGGATCCGTTTACTAGCACAGGTCATGTAAGTATTATAATCTGGGCCCATATTCAAATAAATACTTTGACTAAGTAAGTTTTTTTACTAAGTATTTTGGCTAAGGTATTTACTTATTTTGTATTCAATTCAGTTCTTAGCATTTTACTTTAGTAAGTCAAAATTTAAGTAAAATACTTATTGAGAGGCATTGTGACATCACGATTTTGTGACCAAATGATGCGCAATCAACACATTGCACCAAAAATGCGCTACTTCATAATTCTCCGCAGCTGAGAGTGACTGCGCACATACATGTAAGCCTTCATCTACCAGTTAAATTTGTAAATGCTTTGGCTTAAGTCTCCTCTAGAGGTGTCTTAAATTTAAAGTAAAATACTTAGCCAAATTTATGAATTGAATACCAAAATCTGCAAAGTATTTTATCCGAGCAAAAATCTAAGAAAAAATATTTATTTTTCTGACTGAAGTATTTAATTGAATATGGGCCCTGCATGGTCCTCTCTGATAAGAAGGTATTGCATTCCATTAATCAAAAGAAAACTTATGATACTCTGATAAGATAAAAATACCCTCAAAATCTCTCTAAATTATATTCTGAGAAGAATTTTTTTTTTTAAATTTTATCTTGTGTAGGTCACACTCCACCATCTTTGGCACAATATCCAATAAGAAATGTATGATACCATTCTACTCTCCTTCACAACCACTCAAAACTCTTTTTTTCTTGAAGTGGGGCAGAGTGATGGCTGCTTCCTTGTATCAAAGTCAAGATGCTTGCATTATATGACACTAATGCTACTTTGCTAAAATTTCTTTGAAAACTACAATTTCTCATCACATCATTTTGTGCATCATTTCAAGGTTAATATTATCAACAAAAAGCTTATACATACATTTTCAACCACGCGGTCAAAGATTCATCTCGTTCTTTCACTTTAGGAAGCTTATTTTGATGCAAGAAGTAACACGGGATTCCTGGCTGCTAGAATAAAAAATGTTAACCGCACAACAGAGGAGAAGACATCCAACCCATTACCCAAGCCATCAAGCAGAGATGGTGGTCCTGGGAAGGTCCGAGAAGGTGACCAAGAATCTGCTCCAGGCTGCACCTATGATGAAGACCTCAACTGGTTACGACACTGTCCAACATTAGAACGTGATTCTACCCTGGTTGTTGAAAAGATGAAATCCACTTTTCCTGTTAGACAGCATATGGTCAGGGACGGACGCTCCGCATCGGATATTTTGGAACAGTTTCCTTTTGAAACTGTTCCAGGTTTGGTAAGTGTTACAAAAAAATTTACTCCTAATTCTTGATTTAGCCTCTCAGGCCTAAGGCAACAAAATTATGTGTATGGGAATTAAAGCATCAGAATTATTACTTGGCACTGAGGCATCAAATTCATATTTCTCTGTTTTATTATATATGTTTGAGATTTTGAAAATATCAGTCCGAAGATTCTGCCAGTTTTATCCTTCAATCTGTATCTGTATTTACCGCATGTGACTGTCTGTTGGTGAACAATCACCATTACTGGTTGTCATGTACCTTTGGACAGTGAGCATCAACATGAGTGATATCTAGCAAATCTAATCTATTTCAAAGGTCCAGCAAGTTTCATTCATGTATGGATTTTGTGTAGAGAGACCTTCAAAAGTACTTCTTAGTGGTTGCTATTCAGATAAATATTTGAAGAATCCCCTTTTCCTGGATCTGGGGTGTGTATATATGGGGGTCTGAGCTTTGACGGTACCTTAATATATTGCTGATTTAGTCTAACTGGGGTATCTGTACTGTAAAATTATGCATAGTTTATTTTTTCTCTCTTTTCCCCGTTTTCCTTTTACATGTATTCTTGCAGATTGAGGTAGATTTTCGGAAACTTTTTCCTGAAAATCACTCGCGTTTCCTGACCAAATGGCCCGAGTTGAAGCCCAAGGTTGTTACACTTGCAAGACAACTTCTGAAGCAGAAAGGAAACTTGACAGTGATGGAGCTTCTGTCATCTTATGACAGTTCTGATCAAAATAAAGAAGGTATTTTTGCACATTCCCTTGAATGCACCCTCCGATGTCATAAAGGGTGGAATTCTTGATGGTGGTTTATTTGAGACCATGGATAAACCATTGATAGGTTAGTTTAAATTTGAGCATATATGTGCTTCACACAAGCATGTTCATTGGACAAGTTTTAGAATACATGCAAATCTAATCCAATCCATGGTTTTGAACCAAGTTTAGACCTTGGTCTTAAACCACCATTGAGAATTCCACCAAAGAGCTTGCAGTCTCATTAAAAATGTATATTAAGGGACAAGTATGCTGAAATCACAAAAAATGACCCATCCCAATTAAAACAATTCCCCCCCCCCCTTTTTTTTGTCAACTCCTCCAACAAATTATATTTATCTGGAAGGCTGGGATACAGTAGGGTTATTGGGCATCTCAAATAATGTGGACTCTTGTTGCAATGAGAATTACAAAAAATTACATTACATGCCCACTTGGCAAAGTTATTTGTAGTTGGAACATGCTCTCCATAATTCTTTTATTATATTAATTATATAATTATGAAGAAGAAATTTATATAATTATGAAGAAAAAAGTTTGTTGCATGGCCCATTGTGGAATCTTTATAAGGATTATCACATTGCCAATCATTACTTTTGAAATAGAATGAGCTTCTGTTTTGAAACAAAGCATCATGTTTATATGTTCACTTTGTTATTTTTCTTCCTCAGATATGATATGCATGGCTTATTATCTTATAATATGAACTTGAATCGACCCCACAGGACCCTGCATTTACATATTAGCAGCTTGCTTGTGTTTACTCTGTCTTTATTTGAAGATAAATGCTTTAGAATTCAGAAAATCATGATATTTTTGTTTTTCTTCATTAGTTAACTTTGAAAAATATGGTGGCCCATAGGGGACATATTTGATAAATTGTTAATTGCAACATTTGATTCCAGTATTGATGCAATTTTTGTGATTTAATCATGAAAAGGATGTCAAATTGGGTAGAAGCATGTTAAATTCAGTAGAACAAGAAAAAAATTGTAAAAAAAAAAACATGAACTTATGCTACTAAAGAGTTTGTTATATATGTGTCAACAGAGAACAATCTAGGTTAGGTGCTTTGCCATGAATGTTGCCTTCTCCCATGCATAAATATCCCGTTTATTATTTTCCTATTGATTTCTTTTTTCCCATCCCCCTTTGTATAATTCTCATAAGAAAGAAGAAGAAGGCGTTGCTATAAGTGTCAGTAAAATTTCTCCAAGGGTGCCAAGCTGGCATCAATTGGATTTTTGGTTTAGTACCCCTAAACTGCATTAACAGCCACTTGCATGCTTTGGCTATAATATTGATAAGTCCTCGACTATATACTTATTTCTTATAATAGTTTCTTGTTACAGGCTATTTTGATTCAAATTTTAGCAGGTCAGTTTGTAATTATTTTGGTACATTTAACTTCTATTTTTCACCTTGATCAACATGTAAGCCTGTTTAATAATAACCATTTTCATTTTGTAATGCACAGGATGGAATTCCAGCACATCTGCTATCCTCCTCCTCTTGTGCCTATTGCCTCCTGCAAGCCAAGGGAAGTCCAAAGCTGCGTCAGCAAAAGTGTCCATTTCTTCAGCTCTCTCGAGGGTTATTCAATTTCAGAAGGTATTTAGCTTTTCATTACGAAAGAGAACTGTAAATATTAAGTACCGGTAATACCCTGTCACATAAAACACATTCTTGCTGCATTAAAAAAAAAGTTTCAGAAAGCATCGTGATGTGTGTTCAAAGAGAACAATTATATTGGTTTATGATCTCTTACATGAAGAGGCTTAGACTGATTTGGACAGAGAAGGTGCTCGAGAAATTTAGGCCTATTCAAAAACTTCACCCGCCTTGAAATTGGTCGGAGTAAAATAAACTAGAACAGTAGACATCAAGATTTGCAAACAAATACTAGGAACATGTTGTGTATGAAAACATAGTAACAACTTGTGTGATATATCAGGCATGTTGCCTTTGATTTTCACAGCCCTACATGGAGAATCAATAAATGAAAAGGAATATTTCATGCCACAAATTTGCTGCAAGTTAATAATAGTGCAGAAATTGCAGTATCTTTATTTTTCGTACTCCTTTTGTGGAAGTTGAAATGTCTTGACCACATTAGAAAGACCCTTTTTAATCATATACATAAAACAAGCTTTGAAAGTACTTGCATTTTTACCCCTCTACAGGGTAAGAAAAATTGTATTTCATTACAAAAAATATCATCTGATATTTTGATGTTATATCATTTGATGGACCAATTCCAATTCTTTTCTTTGATGTAAATTTGATTTGGTTTTATGTCCTACATTATTGTCCAATAACCCTTTTGTAAAAACACAATTTCCCCCAGTACTACATGTAAGGCTGTCTTTTAAAAATGTTGATCGAAATATGTTGTTCATTGAAATGCGTTGAGTATTGAAATGCGTTGAGTGCTAGTTACATTCTATACAAATAATTTGTTTTCAACACAGACAGGAGGGAGTATTCAAGCATTCCTCGACAACACAAAAGAGACCAAGAGTCAACCGTTCCTTCTGGCAATTGGCAATTCCAAGGCCCGAATCACCAACTACATGATCAATGTGGATCACAAGGCCATTCCATGTTCGGCACGCACGGTCGAAGCAGCAGTAGATTTACTCTTCAAGACCCACTTTGTCTTTGGCCTGCAGTACTGCTTGTCTCTGCGGCAGTTCTGGACTTTTGTCCAGACTGCCATTTTTGAAATCGATATCGGAGTGTCCCGGGAAACACCAAGAGTACGTGAAATTAGATCGAAATTGTTAGCACCATGATTTGCTTCAAATGCCACAAACAGTTTGCAATACCCAAATTGGTTCAACATTTGAGATTGAAACATGGAGTTATTGAAGATGGTAAAGAAGTATTGACCTGTGGGCAGGGAGCTTGTGCGAGAACATTTCATACTTTTCGAGGATTTCGGGGACATTTGCAGACTCACCTTAAAACCGATTTTCCAGATAATAAAGAGCAGTCTAATGAAAATGATAAAGTGAGTGACTTTCCTGAAGAAAGTCTTGAAAGTCTTCAAGAATACAATATTAATAATGATGAGATTGTTGAAGATCAGGATGTATATGAAGATGACATTTTATCTGTAGATACCTTGAACAGGCAGTGTGTAAATGTAATTTCAAAATTTTCAGCAAATAGTGCAAACTCTGGAAAAGTTGTAAATGATGTAGTAGAAACAACCAGTGCGATTGTAGGTGATGTAGTAAAAAGTGCATCGGCAGCCGTTACAGCTGCTTTCTTAAAACATAAGCTGCCTATAGAATCCGAGGCTTATAAGGAGATTCAAACACATTTTGCTATGCTTGAAAAGCCCTTTGAAAATTTGAATTCAGAATATAAGCGGACAAAGTATTGTGAATCAATTGGACTTGTTGAACCACAAGAAATCAAGTTAGGCATCCGATATGATAGTCGTCTCAATAAAAGAACTAAGCAGTATGAACAGATTGCTATTGAAGATACATTTGTTTACGTTCCCATTTTAGATTCTTTGAAGCAGCTTTTAAGCAATAAAGATATATTGCATTTTGCTACTCATGACCATAAGAGCACAGATGGTGTAATGAGAGATTATTGTGATGGTTCACAATTTGAGAAAACCCCTCTTTTCCATGAAGATGAGAATGCCCTCCAAATTCACTGTTTTTATGATGATTTCGAGACTGTGAACCCCATTGGTTCAAAAACAAAAATTCACAAGATAGGTGCTTTATATTTCATTTTGAAAAATCTGCCACCAAAGTATAATTCCAATCTTTCCAATATCAATCTTATAGCTCTATGGTATGCTGAAGATGCCAAGAAATATGGATTTAATGCTATTCTCAAGCACATTGTAAAAGACATTAATATCCTGTCAACAGTTGGCATTGCTCTCCCTAATGGAATTGTGAAGAAGGGGACCATTACTCAAATAAGTGCTGATAATCTTGGTGCTAATCCCTACTGGGATTTGTAGAGAGCTTTTCTGCTCATTATTACTGTCGATTATGTGTTACAAGTAAGGAAGAGGCACAGAACAAATTCAAAGAGGTTTCAATGGATATGCGCACCAGGCAGACTTTAGAGCAACATTTAGAAGAAGCTGAAGCTCAAACTACCCAGTCACATGTGTTTGGAGTGAAACAAAAGACTGTATTGAATGATTGTATTTACTTTCATGTCTTGGCAAACTTTTCACTAGATATAATGCATGATCTTTTGGAAGGCATAGTTCAGTATGAGCTGAAACTTGTTCTAGAGTATTTCATATATGAAAGGCAACCGCCCCTCTTGTCCCAAGATGACTGAATCAGAGAGTCGCCAGCCATTGCTTAAACCGTACAGATAACAAGAACAAACCATCCTTTATTAAACTTAGGTCAGCTAGGAATGATGTTGGACAAGAAGGCTATGCAAGCATGGTGCTTGATTCGAAATCTGCCATTCATATTGCTCAAGACATTGAAGAAGGAAATGTCTACTGGGAATTGCTACTTAGATTACTAGATTGTATGGACATTATTTTTGCTCCTCAATTGACAGCAGGCTTGATAGCCCATTGTCTATTCTTACTGAAGAACATCACACACATTTCCAGAAAACCTTTCCTGACAGAAGGTTGTTGCCAAAACACCACTTATGGTGCATTATCCAACGTGTTTGAGAGAAGTTGGGCCACTCATACATGTATGGTGTATGAGGTACGAAGCGAAACATCACTATTTTGGCCGTGTTGCAGAATCTGTGCGTATTACAAAAACATTTGTAAATCACTTGCCAAAAAACATCAGACAGCACTAACGTTCCATCTTCAGTCAAACCATCCTTTGGAATATCTGGAGGTTGGGCCAGGTAGTTCACTACTTTTGTCAGATTTAGATGAAAATATTGGACAGATTGTGCAAGAGCAAATCCAAGTAGAGGATCTTTCTACTGAATTATTTGATGCCAACTGGGTTAAAGTACATGGAACACATTATCAGTTGTCACTTCTGGTCTGCCATGATGTTAGCGAGCTTCCTCTGTTTGGTCAAATAGAGCATATCATTGTACACAATAGCACTGTATTTTTTGTACTTGTCCAATTAGATACAGTGTATTACAATTCACACTATCATGCCTATGCAGTAGAATTTAGTTTTCCACGTTGTCATGTAGTGAAGAATCAAAAGGAACTTGTTGACTACAAACCACTAGATTTGATGACAACTTTGTCGAAGACAGACTCGAGGAAGTATGTAGCACCAAGGCATGTACTTTTTAAGTAATTTAAAGCTTTCAAGCTAATGTCTGTTTTGCTTAGTGGTATCAATTGGTTTAAAAAATAATTTTGATCAATAATATTTTGGACTCTTAATTGTTAACATCTTTAAATTGGTTAATTCGAAACCAAATTGAAGTCAAATAGCTGTTGTATATTTTCTTTTTTTTTCTTACAAGAAAAACAATTCTATGATGTTTGTGCATGAAGCCAGTGAACTAGAAGTGCATGGACTGATTTTTGTTGTTGTTGTTTATATCCTGTTGGAAAAACGAGCAGCGAATTAGTTGATATAGAAATGCATAATTTTACTTTTTGATTTTTTTCTCCAGGAGTAAAATGGGAATACATGTTTGTAAACAGAAAGCTGTAAAAGAATGTTCACCTATATTAGAATGAATGTGGAATTTATAGTGTTTTTTTAATGTTTTGAAACATTTGTTTAACCCTTTACAAGCAGTGAAGGAGATAAAAATCCCCTGAATAATTAAATCATCCTGAATCTCAATGGTTGCAGGCCTGTGGTAAAAAAAAATCTTGTTAAACAAAACTGCTGGATAAGATTTGTTAGTTTTGCTATTGTTCTTGAAGGCTGCTTCCTAGCATAGACATTAAAACGCCTTACTATAATTAGTCTGCGAGCACAGACCATTGGCTTCGGTTTTGCAATTTGCATAGTGCACGATGTAAAATGGAATATGTTTGTAAACAGAAAGCTGTAAAAGAATGTTCACCTATATTAGAATGAATGTAGAATTTATAGTGTTTTTTCAATGTTTTGAAACATTTGTTTAACCCTTACAAGCAGTGAAGCTAGGAGATAAAAATCCCCTGAAATAATTAAATCATCCTGAATCTCAATGGTTGCAGGCCTGTGGTAAAAAAAATCTTGTTCAACAAAACTGCTGGATGAGATTTGTTAGTGTTGCTATGTTCTAGCATAAGAAATTAAAGTCATACTATAATTAGTCTGCGGGCACAGACCATTGGCTTCGGTTTTGCAATTGCATAGTGCACGATGTAGAGTCTGCATTTAGAGACTACATATACACATACAGTATGCTCCCTTTAAGGGATCATGATATGAGTGAAAGTAGTCTCTGACTGCAGACTCTGAAATATGCACACGAAACTTGCGAAAAACCGAAGCCGAGAGTCTGCCTGCAGATTATACTAGCAGTTTCCAAGGTTTTTTTTTGGGGGGGGGGGCACTCTGTATATTTCATATGAAAAAGATTCTGTGATATTTTCCTTCAGCATGAGTACAGGATTCAAGGATTGTATGTGTGAAATGTGTCAAATCTTATTGCTACATAATTCACTCTGATGTAGAAGCATAATGTTGTTGTTTTTTTTGTTTTGTCTTCATTTATACATGCATTTTGCATCCTGTTTAGTTTCTATT